TTCTTTCAGGGGTTAAATCAAATACACTTTTTCTTTGAGCGCATTTTGTGATTGATTTCCGTATTTAATGCTTATTTGTGTATAAAATGTTTTCTGTATTTCTTTTGAGTTAAATGTACGAATACTATATCTGTATATAATAGTGTTTTTTGCTTATTTTCACTTATGATACCCAAAACATTGACTTATTTTCTCCTACAGGAAAAATCATTACACCATTAGTTTGACTACTAATGTGAAAGAGCACTGGTATGTAATGCCTGTTCACATTTTTGATGAGATGTTGAGAGAGAGAGAGAGAGAGAGATGGTTTTTCTTAAATTCAAATTTATTTTTTAAAGTCTCTCTCTCTCTCTCTCTCTCTCTCTCTCTCTACTTTTCATGCTATTAGCCTTAAAGGCATTTAAACATAAAATATTAGCAGACTATTAGTGTTTAGCATATATTTTGCAGAATATTCTACAAAATCTTAATGATTATTAATAAATGAAGAGAAAATATATTTTCATTCATAATGTAAGGCATGAAATATTATAAAACTTGTGTTGTATAATGTATTTTGCATTAAATTTAGTATTAATTTATAATGATTTTCTTATTGACAGATGGATTGAAAAATAGTTTCCAAACATTTTATGTTAAATATTTACTTAAAATGTATTCAAAAGCATTTCCCTTATACTGTAATTGTTTGATAAAGAAAAATGATTTTAAAATAAAAAGCAATTTATTATAAAAATTAATTAAATTTATCTAAAATTAATAGTGCAATTTTCACCACATTGAATTTGTTATATTTTATAGGTTAATCAAAAATTAAATAATAATTAATTAAATATTTGACGGCTATTTAAAACGAGATCGATTAAATTTTTGGGATCAATGATTTTGGTATTTGAGATTTTTAAATATATGATAAATCTTAGCATTTGTTTAAACTTTTTAATAAATACTTCAATTATAGTAAAATATAGACCAAGAAAACAAACTTTTTGTTTAAATTATAATAAATAGATCAAAGTAAAAATCATCTGCATTGCTAAACACTACATGATTAGTGTACAGTATATGGTAATATAATTCCTATTACCATAATTAATTATGAAATACATTATGATGATGAAAATATCAAATGTTAAATTAATTATGAATTCCTTAAATACTTGAGATTTTAATAATTTTAAAGAATATTCTTATAGAGAAATTTGTAGAAATATTCTGTCGATACCAACACTTTTGTCAGTGAAATGAATGTTTGACTTAAAATATAATATCATATCATATGTGATATGAATCTTGTTTCGCATGAATTGTTTGTTCATAGGATTAGGCGCTAAGAATCGGCGTCAGACCAAATAGAGAGAGAGAGAGAGAGAGAGAGAGAGAGAGGGAGAGAGAATTTATTATTACTTTTTCTCTCCACTTTCACGAGTATTTTCTATATTAATATTATATCTCTTATATCTTCTCTTCCATTCAATAGTATTATTGATTGAATTATTTTATTTTTTAATTAATTCAATATTTTTTTCATGAGATATCTTACAGATTTATTAGATTTTTTGTACGTAATTTATAATACATTTTTCGTTTATAATTTAAAATTGAATTTTGCTTTTTATTGTCTAAAATTCACTAATTATATTAATGGATTTTATATTATTCAATTGTCTTATCGATTTTAATAGCATTTTAATTATTATTCTGATTTATTTATTAATGACCATAAAATTAAATATAAATTTACTTATTTAAAAATTTATTGTATTAATATTAAAGCAAATTATATAACACCACAACAAGTCAAGTAAAACCAGCTAAACATCAATTCTCGAAAAATAAATAATTTGTAAGCGTATATGGTAATACGAACTAATAGTTTTTTTTATTAAAATATTGCATATTTGATAAAAGTATATTTAAACACATAAACTCATTAATGTGAAAAATCGGACAAAATTACCCAATATATTCTCATCTATAAGTATTTTTCCTGCTTATGACATATATTATACCAAATCTATTAGTTTAACAGCAAATGTCATATTAAAGGAGCAAATATTTACACACAAAAAGAGAATTACTATTGAGAGAGAGAGAGAGAGAGAGAGAGAGAGAGTGGTTTGAATTTGTAGGTCTGTATCTAAAGAGCTTTCATATCATATATAGAATATAAGGACTGGGAATACAATACTGAAGTACAATATATAGAATAATATTCTTATGCTTAACTTTTTCTTCATCTCTCTCTCTCTCTCTCTCTCTCAATAGTAATTCTCTTTTTGTGTGTAAATATTTGCTCCTTTAATATGACATTTGCTGTTAAACTAATAGATTTGGTATAATATATGGTAATACGAACTAATAGTTTTTTTTATTAAAATATTGCATATTTGAATATTTTCCCGGCATTTAATAGTGAATATGAAAAGGCATTATTGATTTTTATCAATCCATTAGAGATGAAATGCTCTCTCTCTCTCTCTCTCTCTCTCTCTCTCTCTCTCCACTAAAAACGCCAAACAAAGAGACTATAAGTATAGCTATTATTATATAACATCTGCACTAATATATAATATACTTAAATGACAAACAAAATATATTTTAGCCATAAAAACGGGTTTCTTGCAAAATATCCTCAAAAATAGATATCTTTCTATACATTATTAAAGATAGAGTTGTCTCTCAATTGCATTCAACAAAATGCAAAAAAAACTACTGTTATATTATTGAGACTTATTTTGCATTTCCCTAATGTTTGGCATATTTTATTGACAGCAAATACACATATTATATATTCACTGCATATATGTATCCAAATAAAAAATAGGAGCATGGTTTAAATTATTCGCCAACCACTTTGCCATCAGCGGCGTAACGAGTAATCGATATAAAAGCAATTTTAAATCATTTTTCAGTGTTTATTTCAAAATATCTTGATATTATTTAGATAGATATCTAGTTAATATAATTATACGTTTGTTTTCAATGTACATATAATGCTCGCATACATGTTTGTAATAAATTTTAATGCTAACGGAGAGTACAATATACGACAACATTGTTTAGGCCATAACTTTTTATTTAGATGTATTAACACAACATATCTCTCCAATCGTGAAGTTTATTGTGAATGCATTATAAGAGCCGAATTAATCTAAATATAAACCGTTTGATTCAAACATTCATCTCAAAGGATTAATTACATTTCGTTTGAGAGAGAACTCTATCTTTAATAATGTATAGAAAGATATCTATTTTTGAGGATATTTTGCAAGAAACCCGTTTTTATGGCTAAAATATATTTTGTTTGTCATTTAAGTATA